ATTTTTACATATAATAATAATAATAATAATTCAGCACAAACAATTTTATTTCTTATGAAAAAAAAAAAAAAAAACAAGAACTAATCATATTTTTATCTTCCAATTTGAATGTAAATCAACCGAAATATTTTATGTTTAAAATTAAAATATACAATATAATATGAGATTAGCGCTTTTTTTTAACTTGATTTGAATAAATGAAAACGGAATTATGGTCAAAAGAAATCTATGATAATTATATATTAATTAGCCTCCAAAGGTAAGCTATGAGCCAACATCTTGTGGCCAATATTGAAAGCATTTGTTTTTTCCTGCTTCAGGAAAATTGCTGAGCATAATAATATTGCTTACTTTTTCTTGCATTATCATAATTCAGAAATCGTTTACTGTTATTTTCATTGGTTCCTGTATTAATTAATTAATTATTCGTCAATTACAAATGATGCTTATTTATTCTTCAACAATAAACTTACTTTGTAATTGCACTCTGAATAAATCAGCATATATTTTGATTGAAAAAATTTATTAATTAAAGAAATTCACTTTGCAAAAGTTAGGAGTAAAAATTTTCAAACATTTATCTTTTCTTTTTAATGCAAAAATATGTGTGTTATTAATCCAAGAAAATATTTAAAATCGATTATTAAAGAAAATTATTAATGATAAATATAAAAAAGAAAATGTTCTTTTAAATTTCGGGAAATCAATTGAAATAGCTATTGCTTCACCTGAGTACAAATGAATGAGTTCAGGAATGGATCACCTTTAACGTGGTTTACGTGAATATAGTCAGATTCTCCCTCCTGCAATACAACACGTGTCTTATCAATGCATATCACATCTGCAAATATATTTCGTTTTGTCAATATTTTATGGTCATTTTTTCTACTACCATAATCATCAGATTATATGATAACAGTACTTCGTTTACGGCTATCATATCAATATATATTAAATTGAACTGCTCAAGGAAATTTAGAAGTACACCTATTTTATTATCACTCTAATTACAATATAAGGAAACACAATCGAATCAAATCACTTCATCTCAAACATTTAAATCAATTACCTGCATCATTTATTAATAATTATTACAACAGCTAACAATTTACAAATACATTAAGCAAAAGTGCTACTTTCAAGTGTAAATGTATGCGTGAATTAATAACTGAATGCGAATTAGCATTACAGTCAGTAGTTTTTAATAATTATTATGGTGTAGCATTCTTTAATTTTTATTAATGACATTTAGCTAATATTTTTTTCACATACAGTTTTCTTGAAATAATTTTTAAATTTAAAAAATCAAAAAAAAATGCAATAAACCTTTATAACGATTTTTTTTTCATATTTTTATGGAATGCTATATATGGCATATCTGGTGGAGTGTACGTTTTTAGATCAGCTTGATATTGCTTCACAATTCCATCCACACCAAGCTCAAACATTTCCTGATAAAATTAGTATAATCATAGTTTTAAAAATTTATGTAAGATTTTTGTTAAAGAATATTTACTTATCAGCATTTAGTTATATGTAATTAACAATCATCATTAGCACATATTATATTATTCGTATTACTCTAACTATTACAAATTATCATTCGCTATTTTTCATTGGTAGTATAAATTAGGCAATTTGAATATCCTCTTTAAAATTAGAACACTGATTACAGCAATTTTCTTTAAATCATTTTAATGATTTAGGAAGTGAAAAGTTTAAATCTGTCTCATTTCATTTTAACTTCTGTAATTACCACTTGCTATAAAATTCATTAAAAGTTTGCTTATTAACAAAAATTAATTGTTGATATTGATTATCAATAAAAAATTTGAATAATTCTCTCTTTATTCATCAGTAACCGGAAATTCCCTTTTTTTTTTCCTAGCTCTCATCGATTTTTCTTCCTGCAAAAAAAATCTCAAAATAGATTCACAAAAAAGAAAAGGATAACAACTCAGATCATAGTTATTTACAATGCTACCCGAAAGTTATTCATATATAGAAATTACTTGATAAATTTAAATAATTAGATATATATCATACATTAAAAATAATATGTTAAAGAAAATAATAGAGAAAATATATAGAAAAAAAAAAAATAATAAAAATTCAATAATATGTTAAAGAAAATTCTGAGACACTGAACTCATCTATTTAATATAAAAGCAATTATAATAAACAAAATAAACTTGAAATGGGAAAAGAATGAAATGATTCGATACAATAAATCATTTTTTGCTATAAGTCTTAGTGATTATTTTTTTTTTGAAAGCATATGCTAATGTTAATAATAAGTTATTTAACATATAAAAAAAACGATGAATTAACGAAAAAAAGTAATATTTTAAAACAAATCGTATTTTTCTTTTTTTCTCGTTTACTTTTACCTTCGTTTAATTTTTCTTTTTTCTTCCTCTTTCGTTTTCGTCTACTTCTCAATAAAAATGTGTTAAAAAAATCATTTTTCTCAGCTCTACTTAACAATAACTGAAAAAATTAAATAAATAAAAAGTTATGAAATTGCGAGGTTTTTTTTTTTTTTTTTAATAATTAAATTGACGAACTATCTGGTGCAGGTTCCTTCTTATTCAATGCTGTACTGCGTATCTCTTTTTGACGTAATCTCTGAAATTTCGTAGTAAAATTCTAGAAATCTCTTTTGATACACCATTTATATATATTCTCCTTGTCATTTAAAACACAAATTCCCTCGGGAAAAAAAAAAAAAAACTTACTCGAAAACTTTAATTATATTCCTTACTTTTTATATCAAATTAGCCCAACACCAATACACATATTATTATAATCAAATTTGAGATTCAAATTAACTGATTATATGTAATTTTAAGGAACATATTCCTACTTAGCATCAATAATCCAATTGGACTGTGTTAATTGAACCATTTTTTGAAATTTTTCCATCATCATTTTTCGGTAATCCATTTTTGATTAATTGATGCTGATTAACAAATATGAAATCACCGAATAAGCCTCTTTGATACTGTAAAAGTGAACAAATTACATGTACTGAAATATTTTTATAGCTTTCCGCAAAAATTTGAATAATGCATAAGAAAATTTAGTGCACAACGTACAGAAATTTTACTAGGAAAGTGTATTTTTTTTTTTGGAAATGATATAAAAATAAATAAATTTTTATATATAAAATAATATTCTTCCAGTTTTTTTAGTATGTGAGTATACGATAAATTACTTGTTGTCATAGGTCGATTGTCCGATAACTCTTAAATTTACTAAAAAATTGAAACGTCAAAATTTTGATTGTATTTATAAAATGGCTGTATACTTTTGTTCAGTGGTGATTGTTCATTTTTGTTCAACAGCATATATATGCCAATGTAAGGTTGTGTTTCAATCATTACGAGTATGACAATAATTGCAATGAAATTAATGATGAATCAAATTGTCTATTAGCAGTTGCTAGCAGATTAGCATTCATAATGATATCACTCACCTTCAAGTCAACTATTTTAAATCAATTTTTAACGTAGTGAAAAGTATTGTTACAAATGTTTTCAAAACAAGCGGATAAATTGAATCGAATGATGAAATTATCAGTGAGAATATATGTTTGAAATGAAAAAGTGAAACAAAATCTTTCAGGTCGAAAAACGTTTTAAAAATTGGTGGAATTATTTTAATTATAATGGCCTCTATATTTTTTGCCATAACTATTATTGTTATTATAATATGTTATCATATATATTATCATATACGAAAGTATTCTTTTATTTCAATTTTGCTTGTAAAATATCTAATATTTTAACAGAAACAAATTTAAACAATTTCTGATAAAAATTTAATTACAGCGAAACAAATTTCAATTGCTTGTGTCTATGTTAATATTTTGGTAAATCAATTAATCCCGATTTTTTTTTTTTTTTTTAGTGAAATGATGCAAGCACAAAAGCAAGTTCAAACAGTTCGATGAATTAATGAGAAGAACGAAAGAAAAACATAAAATGATTCATCAATTACGTAAACAACAAATAAATATGTTAGAATCTTGTCATTTCTATTAGTTTCAAACCAAATATAGTGTGTTATATTTATTTTAGTGCCAGATTTTTTATTATTTCCATATATTTCATATTACTTTGCTTTTCATATTATATGTTATATATATATTATTTGATAACAATATTTTTGGATAAAAATGGTCTCAGTATCATACATCCATGAATTGTGAATAACGGTCTGAGTAGTGAATCATAATTATTTACATTTGAGTATCATACATCCATGAATTTGGATCACGATTGTATATGTCTGAGTATCATACATCCATGAATTATTAATCACGATTGTATATGTCTGAGTATCATACATCCATGAATTGTTAATCACGATTGTATATGTCTGAGTATCATACATCCATGAATTGTTAATCACGATTGCATATGTCTGAGTATCATACATCCATGAATTGTTAATCACGATTGTATATGTCTGAGTATCATACATCCATGAATTATTAATCACGATTGTATATGTCTGAGTATCATACATCCATGAATTGTGAATCACAATTGTATATCTCTGAGTATCATACATCCATGAATTATTAATCACGATTGTATATGTCTGAGTATCATACATCCATGAATTGTGAATCACAATTGTATATCTCTGAGTATCATACATCCATGAATTGTGAATCACGATTGTATATGTCTGAGTATCATACATGCATGAATTATGAATCACGATTGTATATGTCTGAGTACCATATATGCATGAATTATGAATCACGATTGTATATGTCTGAGTACCATATATGCATGAATTATGAATCACGATTGTATATGTCTGAGTATCACACATTCATGAACTGAAACCATCTTTGAATTTACAGAACTTCTTGTATCGCGGAGCATACAATTTTCTGATCAAATGCGATCAGCACATGAAAAAAAAAAAACGAAAAATCCAAAGTATTTTATTCAAAAAACATATATGAGAATAGTTATCAACTTTTAAGTAGGATTATAAATCCATTTTGATAATGGATCATGCTCTCGTACGAGTTTGCACCTTGTACTATCTGATACCAAACGTCCTTCACGCATTGTCTCATATTCCCAATAAGCTGACGCCAGGAAACTTGAATTTCGCTCTTCGAAAGCTTCCACCGCATGCTCTTCGTGCTGAACATTGGCAACTATCAATTCCTCAGGATTTTTACATTATAGAAAGGCTACAGAACTTATTTGTACACAGGGCGGAGACTTCGCAAGTCAGAGAAAACATTTTTGAGCAAAACTCGTATTTTACAGAAAAACAAGCCGTTGAATTTCATTGCTGAACCAGGACATCATAGGGACCGTCTATTACGCTTACATCCAATCTCCCTGCGATCAAAAACCTCTCTCAATATCAACTTTTCTCACATAAGTATTCGATGTAAGACATAGAGAGAGAGAGATGTATGTAAGACATAGATCGTTTCATAATGATCCCTGACGGTTCGTTGACTACTAAATTTGTGGATGCAATGTGATCAGCTTATGGGATTGCAGCGTGTGTCGTAGAAGGATTTGGTTGTTTAATTATTGATATTGGTAGAGGTGTTTGGTCGCAGGGAGATTGGTTGGATGTAAATGTAAATGCGTGAGTAACAGAAATATGAACCAATTTCTTTATTAGCTGAAGTAATAGGATAAAACGTTGATAGAGATCAATTGAAATTGGAATCGTCGGTCCTTGGCGATAAATCACTTATATACTAAATCTTTTAACAAGATCCTTATATAGCAATTATCTTACATTATATATGTTAAAATATGAGAGTGGTTTATGATTAGACATTTTTGTACGAAGAATAAATTGTCTTGACAGGATATTCAGGAGGTACAAATATTCAGGAGGTATCTGTTGCCGTTCATGTTGATTACGTCTGAAGGAATTTCCTTAATTTCATTGTTGACCATGGGCTGTCGATCATTTTTGATGATACATTTCGTCGAGTATCCATCGAGGTAGTCTACTCTCGATTGTATTTTCAATGCTGTAATGTTTTAAGTTCTCTCGTAGAATTTCTAACTGTCGGAAAATTCTTCCCATCCTTTCAACAGTTTCGATTCATTCCTTATCGTTTCGTTGGATTGACTGTGGTTTACTGTACATTTCACTGTAATTTCATTATTGTCATCATACTTTTTGGTCAATATTTGGCGCACAATTTCATAATTTTCTGGGGCAACATCAAAGCCTCTTACTGAATGTAGTGCTGTACCTTTTAAGCAAGAAATTAAATAATTCATTTTTTGGATTTATGGGATATGCTGGGAATGTACAGCCGCATTGAACCCATTCCAAAACTCTCTCCATTGTCGGGGTTCTCCATCGGAAGTGGATAGAGATAGCTGTGGGAGGAGGTTGAAGTGGATAGAGATAGCTGTGGGAGGTTGTTTTTCCATCGGTTCTCCATCGAAAATGGAGCTGTGAACGATAGGATGTTGGTTTTGTCGATTCCGTTATTGGCGGTCTAGAAGTTATTTGTTTGATTTCATTATTAATTTCCCTTTTGTACATAGCCAACGTGATGATGGTCTCCTTTGCTTCGTGCTTTAAAATGAAGATACTATTTGTGCTTAGCTTTCCTCTCTTCCTTTTTCGTTTTGGATTTTTGGACACATTCTTCCACTACTTATTTAAAGTCTCGATAGAGTCAATGTACATTTGCAGTCGAAGAATTTTTTCATCTATGAATCGATCTTTGGTTTCGTAAGTTTCGAGTTGTTCGTGATTCGGCAAGATTGGATCTGGAGATTGGATATGCATAGTTTTTACCTCATTCAATAATCTTTCTAGACGGTTTTTTACAGTTTGATGCTTTCAATCAAAAGTCATTGTAATTCGTGGCACCAAAATTTTTTGTCATGAATTTGAATCAACTTTTTGGTCAGAAGAGTAGATGATTTAGGTTAGTTAAATTTACTTGAGTTATTTTAAATGGTACTGTTGAGTAGGAGAAAAGAAGATTGCCATCGATCCTTTTTTATTAACTTGTTAGAAAAGATTTTTAAGGATGTAGAAAGTGAGCTGGCTTACAGTTTAACATTTACAATGGAGAACAATGAAGACAGACATACATTTTTCTATTTGAGGTTTAGATAAAGAATTCATTGTTTCAAAAAATGGAGTATAATAAAGGAATAACGAATAGGTTTATAGTAGTGAATCATTAGCATTATTTTAAACATTTAGTGTGCAATAAAAATTTTTTTTGGTTTTCCAACAGTTGGTATCAATTCGAAATCGGTGCTAGAGAGAGGAATGAACTTCGAGAGAGGGTTAATGGAGGAACCGAATCGACCATCCACGCGTTTAAATGCGCAATTGAATGATGTGAACTTGATGAGGAACAGTTCTGCTTAACGGATGGGTTATCTCATAGCAATTCATTCAACTCAACAGTCATTGCAGAGCGTGAATGCATCATCCATAACTCATTTCATTTGTAGGACAAGTAACAGCAGTCAACACGAATAAATCATTCGTTACACAGTTCAGTTGGAGGCCAGAAGTAAGTTCCAGTATAACTCAGAAACAGACGAACCGAGAAGACTGACTGAAACTGAAATTCTTCACTATCTGTTCATTCACAATACTGCAGTTTTTAAATATATATAAATATAATATGAATTTTGAATATATATTTTTGAAACATTACGGTTTATAGATGTATTGCGTGAAGTGCGTCTAGAAAATAATTCTCGATAGCAATCAGAACAATCTATAGAAGAGTGGGAATAGTTGCGCATAATATTAAAATGGATGGGAAACCGAAAAGGTATGCAACGGTTCCATCAAACTAATAATAGTGTTATTCGCAATAAACAATAATAACGTTAATGATAGCGACAGTAGTTAATAGTAACAACAATAATAATAGTAAAGTAATGAAATAACAATAATACTAAATAATAGTAATAATTAATAATAATAATAATTAGGAATAATAATTAATAGTAATGATAATAAATAATAATTAATGCTAATAATAATTATTAATGGTAATAATTAACAATTATCATAGTAGTAATAATAATAATAGTAACAAAAATGAATAATAATATTAAATAATAGTGATAATTAATAATAGCAATTCATCTTATTATTATAATAATTAACAATAATTAATAATAATAATAATAATAATAATAATGGAAAAATACAGCGAATGGAAGATCGACAGAATAAAAAGTTTATAGATGATGGAATTCTAATGAATTATACTATTTAACAATATCTTTTGTACGATTGTATATGCGTTGTTATTATATTCTATAATGCTATTCATTTGTTCGTCTTTCGTGATTTAATTCAGAAATCTTTAGGATCTCAAATTTCAGTTATACTGATCTCTGAAAAATCTTTCCATGAGACAAACTTTCGATTAAATATATACCGTGAAAATAATGCTTTTTTGAAGCGTTACTTCGATGAAGAATTAGTTTACTCAATTTCATCAGTGCTTGCTCAAATCACAGTCATAATGTCGCGACAATGTCCCGTGCAGAATGACCTTGCAGCTGTTTAACGTCGCCCAGCACTCATTTTTACATTTTCACCGACTTTTGTACGGCATTTGTGACCTATTTTATTTAAAAATAATCATCGAAAACCATCCGGAACATGAGCGTAAGAATATCATTAATATCACTTCGTCATTTGCATTACCAAAAGTGGTTATGTGATCTTTTCATTCTACACAACCTGCGGAAATTTGTGAAGTATTGTTTTTGAATTACAACATTTCCAATTGCATTTAGCAGGGTCAGTACATTTAAGCCAGCTTTAGAAAATGTATTATTTAATATTTCATGCAGATTACAGAAATGAATTTTAAAATAATATTTCAAATTTCACTCCATCGAAGAATTCGCGATGTCTAATTACTTGTTTATAGTATTATCAAAGTAATAAGCTCAACAACATTGAGCTTATTCAAATGAATTTTTCGACATTCTTTAAAATCTGATTATATTATTTTCTGTGAAATTCGCCTTTTCGCTGACTATTACTGTTTTTATTATTCAAACTACTCTTGCATCACTGAGAAATTCCAATAATGATATCAAAAATAGAACTGCTAAGTGTATATTTCTAATAACATGAATTCTACAACTGTTTGTTGGTTACCTGATGAGAGAATGTAAACAGCACTACTGATACTTCCACAATACATTATCCATGACGGTCTTGTCTCTCATAAATGGATTGCGATATGTATTAAAAAATCAGATTTCAAACTTTTTCTCTCAAATTTGTAAATCAATAACAGCACAATTCAACTTCTAATGAAGGGAAACATTCAAAATATGATCACTTTGTCGAAATGTTGTTTATCATTTTATTATGTTTATGTTTCAAGTTTAGTAACAAATCAAACTGTATAACAAAGCAAAAGTAATTGAGCAATAATTGAAATACTGGAATCCTTTTGAAATGAAAACCTTTCTCAAGTGATTCATAGATTATTATTTATTTATTACTGCTACTGAATAAGTAATGGATTGCCTCATTGTAATCTTTTATACGTTGTTTAATTTATTTTGCATCGGTTTTTCTTTTTCTTTTTTTTTGCTAAATAAAATTTAGCAAATTTCAATTGATTTTGATGGGTTCGGTACTTTCTAGTACTTAGTTTTTTTTTTTTTTTTCTATTTTAAAGAGGAACCCATAAGTTAAAAATGAATTAACTCTTCAAATTATTCACTCTTTGTTGAACCAGTATAATAGTATCATTATACACTCTTGTCGTTTTGCCGAAGACTTCAGATATCTTAATGATATGATTATTAAAAAAACATTAGATTGGAAATTAGTTTCTCTTTAATTTAATAACAATCTTCAAAACATAGCACTCATTTAAGGAACTGATAGAGCGCTTTAACATATCCCATGTATAACAATTTTTGTTATATTGTGTTCTCATATATGTAAATTTACAATTTTATCAGTTAAGTAAATTTGCAATTGTTTTTGGATTTAAATTCATTTTTATCTCAAATTCTACTCAGTAAGGAAACCATTCCTCGGTGGAAGGAGCAAGATGTCGGTAGGTGTTGTAATCCGGTTACATGGAACTTTGCAAATTTTTCTTACAGTAATAGTAACCACTGAGAAAATGTAGAGAGAGGTAATAATTAAAAATGAACAACTATATCTGATTAGTGATATTAAATTGACTATCTCTCGAAAAGACATGCTGAAATCAAAAACATGACAGAAGTTATAAATTAGATTCTTTTGATGGCTAATGAACTATCGAGATCTGAGAACATTAGCAATATCTATGATATTTCTAATATACATATAGTTCGGAAATTTGTGCAAATAACAAATATTAATATTTTCATCACTCACCTATCTTTTCTGAAATAACTTTAAATATTGTTTTAGCAAACTTTGTTGCCATGGGAAACTGCAGCAAAATTTTGTGAAACGGCTATTTCGAAGAATCACTATGCAAAAGCAAAACGTATGCTTTTGCATTTTCAGAAAAGCATAAAACAATTTCAGGCTATGGCTTTTAAAATATCACAGTCGGAATTTCAAATAAATCGGAATTTTGATAACAAAGTTCAAAAAAAATTGAATATATGAAAAATCTTTGGACATAATGGAGTTTGATTGCTTAGAAAAAATAACTTTGTCGCTATCGCTCGATTCATTACAAAATGTTCAAAAAAGTCCACAAATCTGAAGATCTGAATAAGGTTGAAAGACCTTCATTCGATTATTGAGAATGGTTTGTTCCTTTAAATGAGATTTCAGAACGACTTACAACTGCTGAGGACTCGCGAAGTCAAGAACAAAATCTTGCTACCGTATGTAGAAGAGTCCCGGAGAAAGTTTATGCTTCTAATGATTTTTTTAATTTTAGACAAAAAACTTCCCTCACTCATCAATTGATATTATCAAAGTTTTCAAGTAAAAATTTCGAATCATTTTAGAAAACATCAGTCGAACAATAATCACATGCAGGCATTCACTTATCCTTTTTTTGTTTACGCTACTCAACTGCAACGACTGCAAGATCTATTAGCACAGATGTCTGGGACATCATACCGGAAATAATTTTTTCTGAAAAAAGCATCCCATTTGAGACAGACATCAATATCATTACTGCTCAGGAACAAATTTAATAATGAATAAATCTGTATTCATTCATGAGTAATAATCACTTTGATGTCTGTCTGAGAATGTAATTAGTAGTTCGAAAATTTTCTTTATGGTTACTTTTCTGGAAGTAATATGTTTCTTTCGTAGACGTAACGATAGGTGCAGTTGGGACAACGTTAGACACTAGATATGCTGAATCGATGACAAAGATGAACAATGTATAATTGTGCACTTCTTCATGAAATCGCGTATAATGCTAACTATGAAGTCATTAAGTAGATATACTGTTTTCAGAAAGAAAGAGTATGAGGACTAAATAACTAAAAGTTTAGTAAATTAATTTCTAAAAAATACTAGAGTAAGTAAATAGAAACTGCGCCATATGAAAAAGAACCAATAAGAACAAGTAAGTCAGTTGTACTGAATTCAAATTTGAATAATGAATAAAATTCCGCTGCAGTGAACTATCATATGGTACATTAGTTTGCTCAAATATGGCGTCTTCTTGGTTTAGTTAATTAAACACCTAGAAAGCAAACACTTTTTCAAATTTATTCTAGATTTCAAGCATATTTTCAGTTTTATTAGTAATGTACTATTTTGTATTTAGAGTAAAACAACAGCGCAAATATCATCCAGAATTCTAACAAAAAGTTAGTTTTAAAATCTGATGAATGAAATGTTTGCCTCTTTAATAGATTCAACATCATTAGGCTCACTCTTTCTAATGGCTTCCAAGCTATAATTCATCTGATATACTTGATTGTTTTCCATTAACATAGCTGCGTGTTAGGAAAGCTAAACTTTAATCTAACATCCAGATGCTTTGACAACATTGAGTTATCCGTGCCTATTTTCAGAACCGGAAGATAAGAAACTGAATATGGATATACATCACTTCCGTAAACCATATATTTTACGAGAATCTAATTACTGGTTTATCATTTTAAAAGGAACAGTGGCATCACTATGCATAGCACTAAACACCATTCATTTGCTCAACATTGTTGGACTATTTCCTCCAACTTTTAGTTTTTTCAAGCTGAAAGCAATAAGTTACAATGTAATGCACTTCAGAAGAAATTTTTATAGACTTAAATTTAACCCTAGATACTAATACGTTTTATATCTTGAGAAATTAAGTTTGATTGTAAACTAATTCCTCTCCAGTTATCGAGTTTAGATTAGTCTTGAGGCTTTCTGAATGCATTTAGAGTACTTTTGTAGCATGCGATAACATCAGCAACGAATAATATCAATAAATTGCTCAAGGATCGTGTTGGCCTAGTAGTCCGATGGGTACCATATTCAGAAGTGTCAAAAGTCGAAACTTATTCAAACTGCAAGAGTGACTTATCCGAACTTCTTAAACACTGAGCTGTAATGAGTAAAGAGTCTTGCTCGACGTCAAATTGAAATAATGAATCGATTTCGGATGATTTTCAATACCATTTCTGTTAGGGTCTTAAAAAATATTTCTCATATAGTCTAATTCTTAGCACGATTTTTAGTTTTAATCAACAATTATCAATGGTCTCAGTGGACGGAATTTGAAAAACAAGATGGTCAACGATGCGGCATAAAAACATATATTCGATATTATAATTTAAGGATTATAAAAGCAGTTCAAAGTATCATCGAAAAAGAGACTCTGTCAACACATTGTCCTGCTAATGTACAATATAAAGATACATGGGAGCGTGCTTGTAAGTTCCTTAGGAAGATAACATTGAAGGGTCACAAAATTTAGTTTGCTATTTCAAATAGTATCGTTTCATTTTGGTAAAATAAATCAGTTACTTTCTCTATTCACTTCCTTTCTCTTAATAAATAAGCTATAAAACTTGACTTGTAACGAAATGTAACTGGTAAAAAAAATGAGTAAATTATCAGAAATAAATTATGATTTCAGATTTAACAACTGCTTTAACTGCTTGTGAAGATTTAGTTGCAAAGAAAACAAAATTTGATCTTAATGGATGATCTCTTTAACCATACCAAATTTAATCTTAAGATAAAAAAAACAGAATGGTTAAAAACATTTGAATTTGTGCATTAAAATTTTTCTGTATAAGTATGCCATTCAAGATGTGAACTAAATGTGAACAAAATTATCAACAGAAGAAATTTAAGCAAAAAAAAAAAAAACATTAACATACTTTGGTTTCTGCATAGGTGTTTTTAGGTTGTCCTCAAAACGATTTTCAACCTCTTGAAAATTACGTCAATCTTTCATACGATAAAGCATTCTGTATTATAAAATCCAGTCAGTAATTCTTCATTTAAATTAAAAATCTAAAATTAAAGCTTGAGATCAAATTTGAAAAATGTTGAAGTTTTAAGAAAAACGGCACTAATGTTTATTCGTCCACGACGATTAATTCGTGGAGTTAAAAAAAAGTCTGCAAAAAATTTTTTTTTCTTGAAAATGTTAAATCGTAATTTTAAAAAAGTATAAAAATGCAATCGTTTCAAATTGAAATAAATTTTCCCAATTTATATTTTTCTTCCTTTATTCTAGCCTTACGCAATGTTAATGCAAGTGAATTATCAACAATGTGCAGAAATGGCAAATTATGGACGCCACTACCAATCGAAAATTTTGTCGTGAATAATTCATACTATCAGCGAAACAATGTTGTCAAAAGCTACGGTGTGTTTATAACTTGTATATAAATATATATATATATATATATATATAACGATCACTAAGTGTTCATAAAATTATTATTGTCACATTTTCAAATAATTATATATCAAATGGTCTACATTTTTTGTTTTCATTTTTGATTTTTAAATCTTTAGTTTTGGGCAGAGAAATTAGGTTAATCTTTACCAAATATCGCCACTTATATAACTTTAATGACTAAGTACTACGTTAAAATTTCTCCTTACTGTGGGGCATATTGTAAATTCTTGCCTTTTTCGTTTCAACACTTTTGTAAGCTTTTGCTGATAGGAAGGAATAAGGTTATGGAATAAGTTTTTTTTTACTTGCTTGAATTTCAAGCGTTATTTTTCCTCGTTTTGAGATCTATCATTCAATGGAAATTAGCAATGCCACTGTTTGCTTGTTACACTGATAAAAAAATATGTTACACAGCAATAATTTGCATGATAAGCTAGTCTTCACAATAAAAATTAATATAAACTGTTTGTTTAAACTAAAGAATGTGTTTCTATTGTGATAGACATTGTCAGATAATGTCATCTCAGATATCAGATATCAGCTGTGCCTCAAACCTCTCAATTCATCGAGAGTATTGATCTATTCTATGACCTTCCCACTTAAGAGTAAACTGTTAAAATATATTATACTACTAATACACCGTGCGTTGCACTTATAAAAAAGTTATTATTAAATGATAATGTCATTATTAATAAACTGTCATATTTTTTAGATATTCAACGTGGCATGACGTTAAAAAGTTATTGGATTGGAGTGAAACGAATAGATGGAAGAAAATGGTTAATAAATGGTAGACCAATTAATTTTGATTCACTCTCCAACTGTGGAAATCATTGTTATGACATGGTTCTCTTCATCATATACTTTTGGATTTTAAAAATCAACTTGTAGTCAAAGTTGAGAAAATAGAACTGATATTATAGCTTGAAATGAACATTTTACTAATCTTTTTTCGAGCACAGCTTTTTTTAGGAAGCAGTATTTTAAAAAATATTTTGTATTGCAAGCAGAGCTTGAAATTATAGTCTGAAATTAAGCATCTTGCTCTGCAAACAAATAATTACAGAAGTTTGAAAAACAAACAATTATCTATAATTACAGAAAATCTTACTTAGTACAGAAGCATACAAGAAATATACAAACAAGGAGAGATATTTCGTTTGTGTTAAGAATGGTTGGTTCATTTTCTTTGTGAAACGTTGAAAAATTGATAAAAGAACGATGTGAGAGTACTGAAAAGTTTTTCTCTTTTTAGCTTAAAATGTATTTATTTTGAAAAGATTTATTTATTGAAGAAAAATGGGAATTATTTTCAATTGACGATTCAGAGAAATGTATGGCAGTTTGTGTTATCAAAGCTAACAACTGGTGAACTTATACCAAAATGTGTTAATATGAATCGTCCTGTTACTTCTATCTATTATACTTTTCTTTTTCTGAATGCACCAAATTTTGATAGCTTCAAATTAATTAAAGTTTCAAGAAAAAAATATAATGCAACTTTTAAGCGTTATGAGTTTTTAAATGTTAAATTTCCAATTTCAAATTCAATAAAACTAAAAGCAAGTTACAAAATCACATCTAATGACCAGTTGTGTGGAAACAAAAATTTGTCGTGGATGATATGATAATTTAATTTATTTGGGAGGGATTGCTGATCGCAGGAAAATTTGTAGGGAAAAAGTTGAATGTAGATTTGTGTAAATTTGTGAGGTAACAGACGAATATAATGATTCCTTTATTAACACAAGAAATAGTACAATAACTTGATGGAGAACAATTGAAATTGAACTCTCTTTTTGGTAAAAAACACACAATGCCCCTTTTAAACAAGGGTGACCTCCTTATATAGCAAGCAATAAACAAAGCATATGATTTACAATAAGAAGTTAGTCTGCTGAAAGAGTACCGGTCTAACAAAAAGCTGTTGATCTGATTTACAAGCAAATCTAATTACTAGTTGACAAACCGCAAAGGACATTTACTTAAGCAGAAGTTGTAAACCTAGTAGATTCAGGATAATTTACAATTAGTAGTGATCAACAATGAAGTCAACTAAATGAGGAGCTGATACTATGTAAACAATATAAGGACGATTTACAGATTAAATATAAGATTGCAAACAAAGAGTCCAAAGATAAGCATTACTGCAAAGAATTTCATAGAACATATTTCTTATACATATTCACAAGTCTCATATCATATTTTAGAATTTCGCAATATTAAAATCCGCGACACTCTCGATAGAGAATCTAATTTCGAGATTTCGAATGGGAGGATTTGAGTCATTCTTCGTTTTTTATTGAAGGTTGTTTTTTAACACTTCTAGTTCGTTGAGCTATGGGTTTCTCTCATTTATCAATTCCATTTATTGTATCTTTATTGTTGATTTGTCCTTCGCATCTTCTTTTTGTTTGAATTTCCAACGGACATAACATATTAATAGGTCGATTCATTAATCTTCCTCGTGGTAACCCTATTAGAGCACTTTCTATCTTATCTTTATCCTTTTCATATTGAGTTTCTTTATTTTTACTAATTTCTAGGTACCACAAGGAGCATTTGATTCGTTTACTACTACAATTTCTTCTTCAATAGGGACTCTAATGCATATGCAGCTGAAGAAGCATCTGCGAAAACATGAATTCCTGTGGATAGTGATATGTCTATTACGACACGTTGTATATCTTTTACGTATATTGGCTTATCCTCCTTACTTATTAACTGGTCCCAGCTTATTTTCTATTTTCAGAGATTTTGAAGAAATAATTTTATCAGCATTGTACATGGAGCTAGGAATCCTAAGAAATCATATTGAGAAACTAGGAACTATAATATTGTTCTTTTTGTTGGTAATTGATCCTTCCAAGGTTTTAGGGTTATTTGAATTATGTCTTCATCTGAGTTCCAATTGATACCAAGAATCTTTTTAAACTTATTTGTCTCTGTTCGATCTTGTTCGGGAATCTTAGAATTGAATTCTTTGTTGTTTGATAAGAATTCTCTAACATTCATTGAGGCATCGTTAAAGATGTTTTTCATTTCTTGATATTTGTGTAGAGCTTCATCGATACACGTGGTTAATACTATAATGTTGTCGACATAAAGATTTTTCTTAATTTCGTTAGCGAGTTCATTGTCGTAATTCTCCAAACGATAGTTAAGTATAGCCGATAATAAAAATGGTAAAGATATTACTCCAAATGGGACTTGTTTAAATCAATAATGCTCAATATAATCTTCTGTTACTTATCCTATTATATCCTTTAACCAAAAGAATCGTGTACAGTTTCTTTCTGTTGATAGTAACTCCAACTGCAAAAAGGCTTTTTCAATATATGCTATTATTACGCTATTATTATTTACGGATACGAAGCAGTACTCCTATTAAATCAGGAACAGTTATGGGTCCTCAGTATAATACATCATTAAGACTTTTTTCTCCTTTTTGGTGTAAGAATGCATCATACACGATTCTAATTTTGGTCGTAGCCTTGTTTGGAGTTATAACTTCATGATGAGGTAGATAATGAATAATACCAACCTGGCCCATCTCTGGGCATACCTTCTCGATAATGTCAGATTGTAACTGATCACGAATCGTTTCGTTATATTTCAGAAATAAACATTCATCATTCTGAAGTCGTTTACTTCAAAATCTTAGACGACTAAAACACTATCCGAAACTGTTGTTTAATTTGACTCTGGATTCTTTCCATGGCCAGGCAACTTGGTATCTACCATTGTTTTTTGTTATATTTTCTTTGAACTTTTCTAAAACTTGCTCATCATCCTGTATATTAGGTTGTTCTTGTATTCCTATAAATTCCAACTTCCAGAATCGACCAATCTCTGGAATGTCAATATTAATAAGTATAATGTTGGTATGATCTTTATTCTGAACGGAATAGCATGTGCTCTGTGTTACTATCTTCTTGAGGTGATTATCACGCTGACGATTATTGTGCATGTTTATGTATCCACTTCCAGCAATCATAGGGCTGACTATTGTATTGTTTAAAGAAAATCCTAAATTATAGTTTGGGTTTACTCTAAAGAGATAAATTTGAAGAAATAGTCAACTCCAATAATTAAGTCAGATTATTTCCAACTGCTAATTTCCTCTATTAATGGAAACTGAGTCGAAATATCTGATGTATTGTCTTGGTCTACAGATATAACCCTTATTTTGTTCGTTGTATAGTCGACTATTGTGGCATAATAATATCTTTTTCTATCGTTTTTTCAATTCGCAAAAAACGATGTTTGAGGATTCCTCTTGCCGAATCCCGCGAATGTCACTTGTTCATAATTAATATCTTCTAAATGTAATCTTTTTGCTAGTTTTTTCGATATAGACGTTGCTTGAGCACCGCTATCAAATAAAACTACAATTTTATTTGAAACCTCTGGCATATCTAAATTAATTGCTTCAACTTATTTGCTAAAAAGCAAGACTTCTCTGTCATTTCCTTTCGAATGCTTTATTATTGAATTAATTCCTTTGTCGTCTTTCGATCTTCTTCGATTGGCTCTACTGAGTGTGCTTGATCGTTATGCTTAGTGCAGCATAATGTAGTATTATGGTGACCTTTGCAATAAAAACATACATGTTTTCTTGTTTTGCAATTGATTGTCGTATGTCCTAGTTGAAGACAATTTAGACAGGAGTTGTTTTCTTTCAGTCGTTGTATTCTTCGTTCTAGATTAGGATAAGTTTGACATTCATCATATCTATTGCAAAAAGCATATAGTCTTTGAGTTTTGCTAACTTTCTTCTATTGTTTGCGGTATTACAGTTAGAGCCGAAGTTTATTCTGTAAAATATCGATAAATAGTTCGTGGACCAATTTTACTTTTAGATTTCCTTTGCTCTTTTATGATGTCAAGAATTGGTTTCTTGTAACTTCTCCGTTTCTTTGGATCAGTTTTGCTAAGAATTGTCTTAACTTAGCTACTGATCATATTTTTTGTTCCTTTTGTTGATACACTCTGTCCAGAATCCAGAGAGGCAGTTTATTTTCAATGATAATTTCAATACTGGATTGTTCGTGATTTTCACCCATTGCTTCAAGTTATCGAAGTATTTTTTCAGTAGCTTCGGCTGTTATCTTCCATTCTCGATCATTCTTCTTGACGGAATATAACTCATTGTAGAGCGATTTTTTAATGATCTATGATTGCCCAAATTTTTTAATAAAGACTTTTTGTAATTTTCTGGGATTATATCATAACCTCTAACAGCCAATAAGGCATCTCCCTTTAGACGTACAATTAAATAATCTAAATTTTTAGATGTCTGGTATTTTTTGTAAAGGGACTGCAGCTTCAAAGCTGCTCCAGTATCCTCTCCACATCTTAGAATTACTACTGAAGGTAGGCAGCGGTAATTGAGGTAAGTTAACAGTTGGGTAAGGGATTATTTGGCTGCTCCTTTATTTCGCCTTCTTTAAGACGCTGGATTACTAACTCTGAATCATTCATATACATACTTAAGGTTATGATGACTTCTTTACCTTCACTTATTAAGTCTAAAATACCTCTTTTATCTTCGACCATTTTGGTATTTGTCTTCCTCTTCCTTTCTCTTCGTTGCTGGAACCTGTTGTATGCATTGGACCCAGTTAGCATTAATTGTCTCAAGTGTGCCAATATGCATTACTTTTTTTTTTTTTTTTTCAATAATTCCTTTTCGAGCCTCGTGCTGTTGACGGATTTCTTCTCTGGTCAACAATTGCTCCGAAGCCGTCAGATCCATTTCTTGGATTTCTTTGAGAAGAGCTTCTAATTTTTCTTTTTCCGGTCGTGCGTTTAGTACTATAATTGCAGACATTTCCCGGCTTATGGCACCAAAACTAACAAATTTTTATAAAACAATAATTTATTTGTAAAAAATGTCAGTTGTGTACTCATAGTCATTGCAATTACAATTTATATATTTTCAATAATCCTATAAAAATTAATTACTTTCTAATTATAATATCTACAGTATAGTCTCATTAAAAAAAATTATTTTAAATGAAATTATGACGTAGAATATTTTGTTTTCATTACAATAAAATGTTATCAAAAATAAAATTATGAAAATGGCATTTTTTAATGAATTATGCGATACATTCATTTGATATGAAAATGAGCGCTAATATTAATTTAAAATTACATAAATTTGAATTTATGTGATTCATTGATATAAAATACATTTCAATTTCCATCAATGCTTAAAATTTTTATCTTAAACTGCAAAATTTCCTCTTCTTTTTGGCTATTTGAATTTAATTTTTGCACCAATAAAACAAAAACGAATATCATATATAACTTTGAATATTTCACATTTTTTAACAATTTCAATGGTATTAGTGTTAAACTTAATATATGAAAGATTGGGATATTAGATCATTTCGCAGTTTCTATTTTTTTAGATTATTATTATAGTTGCAAAAACGGCAAAATGGATGCAATCATAATAAAATACATAAACACTTCGCTTTTCACTTTTTTCACTTAATTGTTAACTTAATTATTATGTAAATAAGGAAGCAGATGTAACGTTCTTGTTTTTTTCTCTCTCGCCCTCTTTTACTTTTGCTTCATCTCAAGAAGTAAAATACAAAATTTATTTTAACGCCCAAATATGCTATTATTTTTTCGAAAAAAGAAAAAATTTTAAAAACAAGACTAAAGACTACAGAACAAGACTTTTCTTCAGTACTATTCGTTGTTGATATTCTATCAGTGATTTTGAATTAATTAATCAAAGCTCTTATTAATTGTGCATATACATATAAATTTTGCAATAATATATGATTTATATAAATGTTGCATAGCATTGTACTATGATTTTTGTAATTTTCCACTTATTTTCTTTATGTGTTTTTCTTGCTAATACAAAATGATAAAAATAAAAATAATTTTTTCGAAAAAAAAAAAGAAAAAGTTTAACTATTCTTACATAATTTTCTACACTTTACATGTTTTTTATTAACAATAATAAATGAATGAAATATGATAGGATGCTACGTATTATGCTTAATTCCAATTACGGATCAACATTTTTTGTTAATGAATGAACAAAGTTGGCATTATGAATGTTTACGGTGCTGTTTATGTCATTGCTCATTACATGATGCATCAACATGCTATTATAAAAATGGAATGTTACTCTATCGTGATGAGTATCTCACGTAAGAAATTTGCTTGTTATCAACATATCATATGTCGTTACAATTATCAGAAAAAAAGGGAAAGAAATGTGTTTGAATAAAAAGTTAAAATGCGTTATATTAA